TGCTGATTTGGGATTAGTTTGAAGAGGATATTTCTCTCTCATTTGAGTTGTTGTTTGAGAGAAACCCTAATTATACTGCTTTGTGAAGAGGCCCTAACGGATTTTTTGGTTTGTGAAGAGGCCCTGATTTTTAGAGAGAGAAAAGGAATAGGGTTTTTCATTTCCTTGGGGAAACAGGAAGCAGAGCTGAAGGATTAGGTTTGGGGGATTGCTTGCTCCTGTAAGTTTACAGTTTACATTATATTGTTTATCTTTGTTATCACATAATCAAAAACAAAATATGTATACACTATATTGTTTATCTTTGTTATCTCATAATCAAAAACAAAATATTGATTACTTGGTCCAGTACTCACACTCTCTGCTTCTCATTCATCAGTAAAAGAATATATTTTGAACTCGAATTTGTGCCATAAACATTATTTTCATAAAAACAATTATCACAAATGATAACAGATATCTGCATCTATATGATTTTTTTTGCACAATGATTTACTTTACGAAATGATTTGCTATAAACAGTATTATTTCATTTACACAATGATTTCCCATAATAATAACTTTGTTTAAATTTTTTAAAAAAGGAAAACAATTCATACTTTCAATCTGCAACTGTGGCTTTGAAGAGCACAGTGGGGATAAAAATTTATATTTTAGTATTTTTTTTTCGAAATAATAAATTCTTTTCAAAAGCATGAAAGTAGCAATGGCTGCAATACACAAAACAGGGAAAAAAAAAATATAGGTAAAAAAAGATACGATCTTTTGTCCTGATTTAAATCGTATTATGAAAATATCGCGTTTTAAAGGTTTTTATGAAAAGTACGTGATTTTTTCACGACCTTTTCAAAAGGTCACCGTTTAAAACTGTTTTCATAAAAACGGCAATTTTTTGAAAAACTCGCGATTAAACTGCGATTGCTAACTATGGTGGCAACATAGAGATCTTTTGTTAAGATGTTTTATGCTGGGGGAACGGAAATGTAGGAACAAGGCCACTTACGCATAGAACATTCCTTTATATATTTATAACTACAATATAAGTATACAACATTCCTTTATATATTTATAACTACAATATAAGTATACAACATTCCTTATATATTTATAACTACAATATAAGTATACAACATTCCTTTATATATTTATAACTACAACACAAGAAGTTATTTTAACTATTGAATGTAGAATCCGATGGCTTGGGGTTGGGGGACGTTACGAATCTCGGGAAAATTTTATTTTACAAGGTTGTGTCATCCTCTTCAACTTCAATCTATGCAATTTTTAGGGTTTTTTTCAATCTATGCAATTTTTAGGGTTTTTGTTTTTTTCTTCTTTGAGCAAATTCTATATTGAGTTGAATCATTCTCTACCTTTTTTCCTTCTCTTCACTGCATTTCTAAGGTTTTGGTTTCAAGTTGCCATTAAATTACTTCTAACATGTATGTCCTCTACCCTAGCAAGGAGCAAGGATGATTTACCCTATGAAGAAGATTTCCCTTAGAAATCCGCATTTCTAAGGTTTTGGTTTTGTTTTCGGTTTCTCCATTAAAGTACTTCTAACATGGATCTACTCTACCCTAGCAAGGATGATTTACCCTATGAAGAAGAGATCCTTAGAAATCCTCTGAGCCTGAAGCATTGGTGGCGCTATCTCATTGCTCTGAAAGATGCCCCATTCAAGAAACGAGCTGTGATTTACGAAAGGGCACTGAAAGCGCTACCTGGAAGTTACAAACTATGGCATGCTTACCTTAGAGAGAGGTTGGAACTGGTAAGGGGCCTCCCTGTTGTTCATTCGCAATACGAAACCCTGAACAACACGTTCGAGAGAGCTCTGGTCACTATGCACAAGATGCCTAGGATATGGATTTTGTATCTTCAGATCCTCACTGATCAGAAGTTCTTAACAAGGACTCGAAGAACCTTCGATCGAGCTCTTTGTGCATTGCCTGTTACCCAGCATGATAGAATTTGGGAGCCCTATTTGGTTTTCGTGAGCCAAAAGGGGGTCCCTGTAGAGACCTCTCTTAGGGTTTATAGGCGATACTTGAAATTTGACCCGACCCACATTGAGGATTTCATCGAATTCCTTCAGAATTCTGAGCTTTGGCAAGAAGCAGCCGAGAGATTAGCCGAGGTGCTGAACGACGATAAATTCTATTCTATCAAAGGGAAATCAAGGCATAAGCTATGGCTCGAGCTATGTGACCTGCTCACCAGGCATGCTGAAGAGGTTTCAGGTCTTAAGGTTGATGCCATTATAAGAGGGGGGATCAGGAAATACACTGATGAAGTTGGGCGGCTTTGGACTTCGCTTGCTGATTATTACATAAGGAGGGGATTGTATGAGAAGGCAAGAGACATTTATGAAGAGGGGATGACCACTGTCGTGACTGTGAGGGATTTTGGGATGATCTTCGATTCTTATACCCAATTTGAAGAGAGCATGGTGGCTGCCAGAATGGAAAGCTTGAACTTGGATGATGATGAAAATGAGGGGGGTAATGATCGGAAAAAAGATGAAAATGAAGGTAGTGAAAAAAGTGGGGTAGGCTCAAAACAAGAAGATGACAATGGCCAAGACCCTAGATTATTGGTTGATGGGCTTAGTAGGAAGAACTTTGATGGCTTCTGGCTTAATGATGAAAATGATATCGACCTCCGATTGGCGAGGCTAGAGAACCTCATGGATAGAAGGCCTGAGCTTGTTAGCAGTGTTTTACTGCGACAAAATCCTCATAATGTGCCTGAATGGCATAACAGAGCAAAGCTCTTCAAAGACAACCCCACTAGACAAATACTTACATTCACCGAGGCAGTGAGGACAGTGGATCCTATGAAAGCAGTGGGGAAACCTCACACTTTGTGGGTTTCCTTTGCTCGTCTTTATGAGAAACACAATGACCTTGCGAATGCACGGGTGATATTTGAGAAGGCTGTTCAGGTCAGCTACAAAGCTCTGGATGATTTGGCTAGTGTTTGGTGTGAGTGGGCAGAGATGGAGTTGAGGCACAAGAATTTTAGAGGGGCATTGGAGCTCATGAGACGGGCAACAGCAAAGCCATCAGTTGAGATCAAACGTAGAGGTATATATAAAAGTCCATTTTTTCTTCCTAAAAAGAATTTATGTTCATCCATTGTTGCTTAAAAAAAAAAAGTGTCCATTTGTTATACATAATGCATATACATGTTTCTTTCTTGGTATTGTTCCCCACAATAGTGTTCTAGTGAGAAAAGCATTGTCATTTAGCATTCTCCAGGTTCTTGAAGTTGGAGATTTGTTAGTAGAACTAGTGTTGAACTCTCAAAAAAGTTGTCTTTTGAATATATTCATTCATTAATGAATGGAGGCAATGGACAAATATGTCATGGTTAATCTGAAATGGTTACCAAGATTAATTAGGTGAACTATAGATATCGACCATTTGAAAACTCAAAGCAGGCATCCAGTAATATTTCACAGACCCTGAAGCATGTATCTTAAGATGTGCACACCTCCATATATGCACACCCCGCTTTATTTGGCACAAGATGATCTAGCACATCTACCTACATACGCACCCTCATACATGCAGCCACATGACCCATTTACTTCCTCTAAAACTGCTAATCATAGTAAGGCTAAATATGATTATCTCCACATTCTCAAGAAGGAAGAGATTTTTTGGTATCAGAGGTCTACATTTAAATGGCTTGCAGCTAGGGACAATAATACTGCTTTCTTTGATCGCAAGGCCCGCTGCAGGCATTGTTTAAATTCCATTAACCAGATCTTCTTAGAGCCTTCAGCTATTTAGTCTATCACCATCTCCTTTTTCCGAAGCCTCTTTTGGCTTTTTTTGGCCCTCGCCTCGTATGGTAGACCTTAATTTTTTGACTCCTAGCAACAAGTCTTCAACCTCCCTAATTTTCCTTTTCAGTCAAATGAAATTAGGGCTGCCATTTCATCTCTCGGGAAAGATAAAGCCCCCTCTTGGATGGTTTCTCTATGGTTTCTTTTTAACACTTTCTTGAGCTTTTGTCCTTGACATCTCTGCCTTTGTCCATGAATTCCATCATAGAAGTATTATTAACCAGGGCATGGACATCACGTTCATTGCCATTATTCCCAAGTTGGAGAGAGCTGAGGACCTCAAAGACTTCAGACCTCTAGGCCTCCTTAAGTCCTCTTACAAGATTTCATCTAAGATGTTACCCTCCAGACTCAAACTGGTCCTAGATCAAGGAGTCTCGTAGAATCAGAGTGGTTTTCTTCACAATAGACAGATTCTAGATAGTGCGGTCATAGCTCACGAAGCAATCCATTACTGTCATCAATCTAGGAAACCCGGTTTCATTCTCAAGCTCGATTGGGAAAAGTCTTATGACCACGTAGAGTGGTCAATCCTTCTCCAAATCCTTTCCAAAATAGGTTTCCATCACAAATGGATACAATGGATCCAAGTTTGTATCTCCTAGACCTCCTTGGTGCTTATTAATGGATCACCTAAAGGATGCTTCTTACCCAGCTGTGGCCTGAGTCAAGGAGACCCACGGTCCCCTTTCTTTGTTGCTACTATGACTGAGATCATCAAGAGGTCCATTTCTTAAATTTTTCACACAGGTACCCTTGAAGGTTCTAGAACCTCTTCTCAATGGGAATATGGCTTACATCTAGAATATGTGAATGACACCCTCATCTTCCTGGATGCAACCTTTGATTAGATTGACAGCCTTTGGACCTTCCTCAAGGGTTTTGACTTGGCCACGGGTTTGAAATTAACATGTCCAAATTTAAACTGCTACGCATCATTGTTCAGGTAGATGACCTTCAACTTCTTGTTAGTAGGCTTGGATGTGATATTGATACGCTTCCGATCAAATACTTCGGTCTCCTGCTTTATGAAGGGAATCCTTGGAAAGCTTTGTGGGACCCCATAGTGGAGAATTTCCAAATGAAACTAACCTCTTGGAAAGGTAGATTCCTCACCCTAGGAGGTAGGATCACCAATTCACCATTATCAAGCCTGTTCTCTCTGGCATACCCATCTATGCTATGTCTCTTTTCGTCATGCCTGCTTCCACCGTCATGGGGAACTTTCTTTGATCCTCTAACATCTCTAAGAAAAAGATTCCCCTCATTGCTTGGGACATGCTTTGCCAACCTAAAAACTCTGGTAGGCTTGTGATTCGGGATCTCAGACTCACCAACAAGGCTGTATTGCGTAAGTGGTGGTGATTTGGCACCAACCATAATTCCCTTTGACGGTGTGTCAGCCAAAAATGTGGCTCTGTCTAGCTGACAATTCCAAATTCGCTCCCTCCTCTACGTTCTTTAAATGTATATGCTCTTGCAAGGACTGCTCCATGCCATGCCTTTGAGACGAAAGTGAACCCAGGAACTAAAGTCCTATTTTGGCAACATCTGTGGATTGGGGACGCTACCTTTCAGAACCCTATGACCTAACCTTTTTTCGCTAGCAACTGACCATGATGCCACAATTGCGACCTACTTTCGACCTAACAACATCCTCCAAATCTGGGCTCCTACATTTAGACGGGCCTTCTAGGACCATGAATTTGACTTCTTCCTTAGCCTCCTCAGCCACTTGTCCACCATCTTCATCAAAGGAGTTAGGGCGGGCAGACCCATTTGGACCAAACACCACTTTGAAAATATGTTTGTGGCCCCCTACTATAAATCTTTGGACCCTGAACACCCTTTTCTCCACACAATCCATCACAAAGCTTGGCTAACTATTATCTCACCCAGAATTCAAGCTTTTTCTTGGTTTTCTATTTCTCACAGAAAGCTAACCATACATAAACTCCAAAGCAAGGTTTTAACTTGGCCAAAGGTGCTATATGTGCGAGTGGTCTTGCTCCCACCTTTTCATCCACTGCCACTTTGCATGATTGGTTTGGAGCAAGCACTTAAGGGATTTCAGTTACAGGTGGGTAACTTCCCTGATATTAAAGGCCTTTTCGCTGCTTCTCCCCCCTTTTACCAGGGCAGGGACTTTCCTGTGGAGGGCTTCCATCCAAGCAAACTTATGGTCTATTTTGAAGGAGCACAATTCTTGTATCTTTTGTGAAACTCATATCTTTTGTGAAACTAAGAGCATGGCAACAACAAGAGCCGAAAGGGCAAACACGCTCACCATCTTCTGGGCTTCTAATTGCAAAACCCAAGGGTTTTACTAGCTGTGACTTCTAAAATAACTGGCTCCAAATCTCGAAGTCAAGAATTCGAAATCCCTCTTGCTCATGCACTTGGATCCCCCCACCGCAAGGCACCAATAAGGCCAATATCGATGGTTGATCTTTGGGTAAGCCAGGTCCATGCGGAATTGGAGGTATTTTCAGAGACTATAATGGTAATCGCCTTCATTCCTTCTCCATCTACATTGGCCCATGAGTCTCAAAGTGGGCGGAGGCTACTGCCTTGCTCGAAGCTCTGAAGAGGTTCCATCCCAGCTAGGGCAGTAGTTTAATCGTCGAGGCCGATTCTCGTAATGTCATTGCTTGGACATCCAAATCCTTTGAACCCCTTGCCGTATTCTTCATATATTTGATTTATGTTCCTTTCCTTTGCAAGGCCCTTCAAATTGTCTTCCTGCATAGCTGGCGGGAGAGAAATCAAGAAGTTGACCAACTGGCCAAATGGAGAGCCTAGAGCACTCCAACCACGGCTTAACCTTCAACAATATACTTGATGGCCTAAGATGAATATCTTTTTTTCTCTATGTTTTGTTTTGTCTCTTTCCTTCTTTTTTTCTTTTTTTAAGTCTCTCTCTACGATCCTGTGCTTTTCTATTTTTTTTATTTCATGATCTTCTTTAATCTCTTACCTTCTCACCTAATTCTCAGTCTTACCAATCCCCCCCCCTTCCTTTTTTCTTTTTTCTTCTCTGAGCTAATATTTTTTGCAGCTCTTGACCACTCTTCTCTCTCTATGTTTGCTTTTTTGCTGTTCTCAATCTTTTTTCTTTTCAGTTTATGTATGAGCACCCGACATGGAGGCGCCTTTAGTTAATCCTTATGAGTTTTTGTAAATATTATAAGCATATTTATATTAATGTCAAAGAAGAAGATGATTTCCTTCAATTAAGTGACTTCGATTTTAACTTTGTTAACGGTGGGTTTTGTTGCGTGTATGTTACGCACGTACTTAATCTGCTGCCATATGGCTGCTGGGATGACGCTTACATGCCTACAACAAGATTATTAACATGACTCACTCTTTTTGTGCAGTTGCTGCTGATGGAAATGAGCCAGTGCAGATGAAGCTTCACAAATCATTGAAGCTCTGGGCCTTTTATGTTGATTTGGAAGAGAGCCTCGGAAATTTGGAATCAACTAGAGCCGTGTACGAGCGTATACTTGATCTGAAAATAGCTACTCCCCAAATTATAATGAACTATGCATTGCTTCTAGAGGTAGGGATGCAATTATTGTTAAGATTACTTTAAAGACCTTATCACCTAATTCCCATTGGTGCTATGCTCATCTACGTCTCTTTTGATGGCAGGAGAATAAATACTTTGAAGATGCATTTAAGGTTTATGAAAGAGGAGTTAAGATTTTTAAATATCCACATGTCAAGGATATCTGGGTCACATATCTTTCGAAGTTCGTGAAAAGATATGGGAAGGCAAAATTAGAACGTGCAAGAGAGTTATTTGAGCAAGCAGTTGAGCAGGTTAGTGACAACATTTTGTCTTTTAATTTACTTATTGAATATAGTTAGTATATTTCTTAAATTTGTTACTATTATGGAATACCTCGCGATGTCTGTGATTATTAGTTATTTTGTAGCCTAATGTGTTCTTTTGAATTGGAATATAGAGTTTGTCTATACATAGGAATATAGGATATGATTAGCCATGGGCAACAACTGCAACACTAAATACAGAATATGCCTTTGGGGACAACATCTGCTACTTTCCGCATATTTTCTTGACCTTTCTTATGGAGAATTTTCTTTTTCCCAATGATTCGTAACTTTTATTTGAGAAAAGGGAACTACCTTTCTTCTGTTTTCTGCGAAAGTGATTCTAAAATCTTAGAGATCCATTATTGGTTTGGATGTCTTGTGCTTGCTTAATTAAGCACAGAATCGTAAGGGATGTACCTATAGGTAGTCCGATGCTGCTTCTTTCACCTTCTTCATGTGCTATGGATGCAATCTTTTGCATTACTTTTTCCTCGCTGTATAAGAACTTGGATTATGTGTAGGTAAGGATTATGTTTACTCTCAATTCTTTTGATTGTCAGATGATGGTGTCATCCTGTATCCTCTTTCATCATGTCAATTTCATGGAATCCATAAACTTGACTCTTCAAATTAAAAGTTTGTGTTACAATGCGAGGATTTGAGAGTCTACAATCTATAGTAGTTTTTCCAATGAACTTTGGGCTTTCCTGGAAACTTTGACGAGTCCCTAGCATCTGTTAGCTTTTTTGCTGATTAGCTTTGTTAAAAAATAATAGGGTTATAAAGTAAGTGGCATATATTGAGTTCCAAATTCCCATTCATGATAGTCTCGTCATCAACTTTGCTTATAAAACATGTGTAGCCGATGGAAACCGTGATATTGACATAGCCTACCATTCAACACCTTTGCATATTAAACACATGTCCACAATTTTGGTTGTTGTCCACTGAGAATTTTGTCTATAGCAGCCATCCGTCTAGAGTACATAGAGTATTGCCAACATACAATTACGAAGATGAATATTGGGGTCTTGCAGCTTAGTTCGGATGCCATTTTCTTGCAAACATTGGGTCATGTTTCTGTCTTCATACTCTATTTCATTTCCGCTTCTAGAGATTTTGACTTTGACACCAAACTAAGTAATGATCATTTTATGAAAAACCTTAAAAATTTCAAACACTTCTGCTTTGGTTTTCCTGCAATGGACCCAAGTAGTACAAGAACAATCATCAATGAAGGAAACAAAATATTGTGCACTAGTGATGGATTTCGCAGGTGCATGACCCCACGCTTCAGTGTGAATAAGGGAGAACAAGTCTTAACAAGGCACTTTATTACCAATGAAGGGTAAATGACAATATTTTGAAAATTGACGGGGTTCAAATAAGGAAATAACATGATCTAAAAAAGAAACCAAAGGCAAGAGAATCCTAAGGACTTAGCTTGAAGGATGCCTCAAACAAGCATGCCAAAGTTCTTCCTCTTTATTGTTTGATACTAAAGCCATTGTTGCCGTGCCAAATAGGCATTCTCCTCATACCCCTCACAATCGTTTTCTGAGCCTCAAAATGTGAAAAACACGAGGAGATGGAGAAAAGACTACTATTAAGATTTTCAGTAATGCTGCCCACAGATAGTGAGTTACATGGGAAAGGAGCATGGATGATTCGTGAAAGGCTCAGTGTAGTAGTGAGATTAGCAAATCCTACACCCTCAACGAATGCAAAAGAGTCCTCAGAAAGGAAAATGTCTTGGAATCAGCATGTTTTTATTGACTGAGGCTAAGGGAGCTTGTCTATCATATGCTCTATAGCTTTGGAGTAGGTAACCCAATTTGGAGATGCTCTAAGGAAGGACTGATGATTACGTGTCTTTTGAGATATAACTGCTCTAGTAGAGGGATTAGTTGATTCCTTTCTCTGATGGAGCGCAATGAGTTGACTACTCTTATAATCTAAAGGAGTGGCTCAAGGAGTCTGCCACTTGGTGAGTTACAAGCCTGGTTTGGCTAGTTGGTGGTGCTGTTGGCCACCCATGTAAGGCCTAGCACCTCTCCTTCATATGCCTCAATCTTGCAATGCTCTCATTTAGATCCAGTGGATGTACCTAACTACATTCATGTCCTTTATTATCTGCTATTTGAAAATAGCAACAAAGGCTCGATTAAGGACCTTTGACTCCACCCTCATTACGTCCTCGAGCTTTTCTCCTATTTGAAGAAGAGCATAAACAACATTTATGAATGGTAATATCTCGGCATACGGTTTTGCGAACCATCTCATAACAATCATTAAGGCCAACAAGGAGCTTGAGAATAGCCTCTTTTTAACTTCCTTTGCCATCCAAGATGGCAATTGGGCACTTACATTGGGGGGGCTCATAAAGTTTGAGTTCCTCCGTCATGTTAGAAATATGGAAGTAGAATGGGCTCAAAAATATTTTATTATTATGAAAACAAGTGGGGTTACAAGGGAGCAAAATGGTTTTTAAAGACCACAAATATATTTTGAACCTTCTTTTTCTTTTATTACTCTCTCGCATGTATGGGGCTTGGGAGACTTTTTCTATTTTACACGAATGGATGGGGACAACTTCTTGGGAAACTCTGTCTTTCACACGAATAGATGGATACAACACACCTTCAAGCCCCCTTTTTATTGGTTTGTTTATGACGGTGGAGAGAATATTAGATTGGCGGTGATAGAAAGATCTAGAGACAGAAGGAATGACGGTGGAGAGATGGAGAGGAGTGTAGAGTTTTTGAGAAAAAATGAGAGTGAGAAATTAAGGGGGGATATTAAATTGTATAATTTGTCTCTCTCTCTAGAAAACTCTACACTCCTCTCCATCTTTCCACCGTCATTCCTTCTCTCTTTAGATCTTTCTATCACCGCCAATCTAGTATTCTCTCCACTGTCATAAACAAGCCGATAAAAAGGGGTCTTGAAGGTGTGTTGTATCAATCTATTCGTGTGAAAGAGAGAGCTTCCCAAGAAGCTGTCCCCATCCATTCTATTTAAAATAGAAAAAGTCTCCCAAGCCTGTGTAAGAGTAGTAAAAGAAAAACAGAGTTCAAAATATACTTGTGGTCTTTAAAACCATATTGTTCCCTTGTAACCCCACTTGTTTTCATAATAGTAAAATATTTTTGAGCCTATTCTGAGTGCTCTGTTATATTCTAACCGATATTGCTCTCCTTGAGGGCATAAGGCTATCTCTCTATCAATGTTAAAAAAATTCTCTCGCCTAGGTGGAAAAATTTCAAAAACGCCTGGGCGCTACTTAGGCCGGACAATTAGGAATCTTGCGTCTAGGCATATGCCCAGGCGGAAAAATTTCAAAAATGCCTAGGCTCTACTTTGGCAAGATTATTCGGCGTCCTGCTTATAGGTGCTCACCTAGACAAAAAAATTTCAAAAACGCCTAGGCCCTACTTAGGCGAGACTATTAGGCATCTTGCGTCTAGGTGCCCACCTAAGCGGTCAAGGTGCCGTCTAGGTGATACAGTCTAGGCAGCCGCCTAGTGACAGTTTGTCAAATGGCGGAAAAACCTTCCGCGAGGGTCAAAATTTGTTATTTCCCCCCCCCTAAAATGTGGGGAAAAGGGTTTTGGGGGATATTCTAAACCCCCAAACACAAAACCATGCTTTCTTGAGAGAAAAACTACCCAAATACCTCTCTTTTGTGATTTATCGAAAGATCGATAAATTTTCAGTTTTTTCGATTTCTTCCCAAAATAAAGGCAATAGTTCGTGGGTGTTTTTGGAGCTTCTAGTAGTCGCTTTTGAGGACTTTTGGCGACCAATAGACGAGGTTTGCACCTACATCGATTTGATTTTGATATTTTTAAAGTGTTATCATATTTGAATAAGGGTTTTAATTTGATTTTGCTTTAACGCGTTATGTTGTGAATCAGTTGTTTTTTTTTGTACTTTTTTTTTTCTTTTGTTATGATATATTTATATGTTTGTAGTTGAAAGATTGAATTTTTTTTTTGGGATTTTTTGAAGTTTTCCTCATTTGGACGATGAAATTGAGCTTTTGTGAATAATTCTAAACTTTGGATGAAATTGATATTTTGTGAATATTTGATATCCAAAATCAAATCTTATGGATATTAATTAATAAATAATAATTATAATATAACTTTCATCTTAATTAATAGTCCAACTTTAACACATTGTGAATCATTTGTTTTTTCTTTTACTTTTTTTTCTTTGACGATATATTTACATGTTTGTAGTTGAAAGATTGATTTTTTTTTTGTGATTTATTGAAATTTTCCTCATTTGGACGATGAAATTGGGCTTTTGTGAATAGTCTTAAACTTTGGATAACATTGATATTTTGTGGATATTTGATATCCTAAACCAAATCTTATAGATATTAATTAATAAATGATAATTATAGTATAACTTTCATCTTAATAAATAGTCCACCTATCCTAGGTGGGCACCGTCCGCCTAGGTGGCTAGGCCCCCAAAACTCTTAGGCGGGCGCCTACTCCATTTTGAACGTTGCTTTCTCTGTATAGCTAGTACACTTGGGCAATATTATCTTTTTGTAAAAATTGCTTTTTTTAAGGTGTCGTAGATTTCTTTGGCCAAATCAAGGGTCAAAATCCTCTTCTAATAGTTTTATTTTTAGAATTTGAGGATTCATGCCATCATAAGTGAATCCGATACCTTCCACTGTTCATACTTAGAGTCAGAAGGATTCGGGCACTTGGATGTGCCATCTATGTGTCTAACCTTGTATTTTCTCGTAAGTATCGTTGCGAAGGACTTGGCACATGCAAAATAGTTGTTGCCATTTAACTTGACAGTAAATAATTTGGATGGCCATTGCATCTCCTGAGGGTAGATCTCGTTGATTTGCAATTTAGTGGATGAAAGCAAGTTCTTAGAAGAGAATATTATAAATGGAAGCTTACCCAAAGATAAATTTGCAGCATTGTATACTTGGAATTAGTCCTGATTACTTCGGGCAAAAAGGTGCAGGTATTTGATTACTGCCAAAAAAAAAGAAAAAAAAAGCTAGGTATCCATTCAAACTTAAAACTTGAGATCTAAAAAGATTCTTGCAGGTGTTGGTCACCGCTCTGGTACCATGGAAATTTTGTGGGCCTATTCTCTAGGAGTGAAGGGAAACAATGATTGCAAGTGAGAGGAGGAAAAGCACGAGAGCGAAAAAGGGAGAGAAGGCATGTGTTTGTGTGCGTGAGAGAGAGAGAGAGGGAAAGAAGACCATGTTCGGGGCCAAAAGATGGCCTAGGATTGGTGTTATGTTAGGGGTAGCAATGGGTCAAGTCGTCTGAGCCGACCTGGACCCAACTCGGGCCTAGGGTTTTGGACCCAGACCCAACCCGCTTCAGGTCCGGGTTTAGAACCTAACAAAAACGTTTTTGGAAAATATTCAAATAAATATATTTCACTCACACAGATGCACACACACACATACATACATGATACATATATGGTTAAATTTGTATGTATGCAACATATGTTTAGGTCGGGTCGACCTGGACCCACCCGACTTGGACCCAAACCCAAGCTGGATCCGACTTAGGTCTAGGGTTTTGGACCCGTACCAGCCCACCCAATCCAAAATTTGGACCGGATCTGGACTTGGATTGGGTCAAGTGGACCAGATTGCCACCCGTAGTTTATATATTTATGCATATAATAAGTTACAAATGACAACTTTGTCATACAAAAATTACAAAAGGACTAGTCGGTCCAAAAGAATGAAAACTAACAATACTAAAGAAAGAGAAAATCGCAAGTTTCCTTCAAACTATATAAGTATACACCAAAAAATGTATGCACCCTCTACAGGTATTCTTATTTTCTACAATCATGACCTACATTATTGTCCCATATTTAGAGATGAAATCTCTCGAGGTTGGAACATGAATAAGATATGTGTAGAAGAGGCAAACTTGAAACTGGATTCAGAATTAACTAAGTGCTTAGGACTAATTCAGGTTTGTTAGCTAATTGCTCTTGCCATGTGCCTTTTTCACTTCAACTGCATGCTTATTAGTTCATGAAACTGAGAATGGATTACTGGATCTAATTCATGAGGCTTTGTGAATATTTTATTTCTCTGCTAAGGGGCTTTTTTTAAATCTTTATGGCCTATTTGGATGAAAATTAATGTTATCAGCAGTAGACTTATCTTACCTAAATGCATGATATGCATGAGATTTGTGTAGAAGAGGCAAACTTGACACTGGATTCAGAATTAATAAAGTGCTTAGGACTAATTCAGGGTCGCTACATAATTGCTCTTGCCATGTGCCTTGTTCACTTTAATTTCATGCTTATTAGTTCATGAAACGGAGAATAGATTTCTGGACCTAATTCATGAGGCTTTGTGAATATTTATTTCTTTGTAAGGGGCTTTTTTTAATATCTTTATGACCTATTTGGATGACAATTAATTTTATCAGCAATAGACTTACCTAAAATTAATTAACTCTAAATAATATTATTTTATTACTTGTTTGGTATGTATCTTGTACTATTTGTAATATTATTTTATTAAGTTTCTTGTTTTGCAATGTTCGACTATTTTTAGCCCTTTCGAGCAAACAACATGTGATTTTTAGCAAATTACTTGGAATAAAGTAAAAACAATTTTCTGAAATAGATAAACTTATATGTAAAACTGCGTATAAATTTATCTCAGATAATTTCATGATAGACATTGCCAAACAACAAATAATTTATTATTAGGATTAATTTTATTGAAACAGTGAACTATCAGTGATAATGAGTACATCCAAACATGCCCTTAAAAGATTATATTTGGATTCAACTATCTTTCAGCTTTTTGATTGATTGTCATTGGCTTTCTTTTTACCTGTCACCCATAGTCATTGAGAATAGTGTACATATGCTTCTAATTATAAAAAGTATCATTCCATCAATTGGAATGAGATGGCTGAATGTATCAAGAACGTGGGCAAAAGACGTTTTAGGAGAATCTAAAGGGAAAAGAAACTTTGATTAGGAAATGTGATGGTGGAATGAGGAGGTTTAGAATGCCATTAGCGAAAAATGATCATGTTATAAAACTTGGCAATGTAATAGAAACGATAAAAACTTAGAAGAATATAAAAATGCTAAGAAAACTGCTAAACAAATAGTAAATAAAGCTAAGCTTAAGGCATATGATAATCTATACAATTAACTGGGAACAAGTGAAGGTGAAAAAGACATATTCAAATTAGCAAAAACAAGAAGAAAAGTGTAGAGATTTAAACCATATTAAATACATTAAGAGTGAGGCATTGTTTAAAAAAACGATCCGCCTAGGCGTTTTTTAACAAAAAACCGCACGCCTCATGAAAAGGCGCCTGAAACGGGCGTTTTTACCTGGGCGGGTGCCCAGTGAAGTCAAGAGTAAATTGCTTTTTAAATTCGCCCAAAAGGGCAGAATGGGTCATTTTGACCCCAAGTTTCTATAAAAAAGTTATGGGGTTTATTTTTTAACCCCCAAAGTAAAACATATGTTGCAAAATGGAATAAATTACAAAATTTGACACAAATATATACATATATATACATTAGGATAGCAAATATTTTTAAAAATGCTATGATTTTCCACTACAAGGCTAAAAATGGATGATTTTCCACTGCAGGGCGCCCGAGGATCTAGGTGTTGGGCGCCAGGCTGGGCGCTCGCCTAGGTGCTGGGCGCCAGGCTGGCCGCCTACCGTTTTTTGATACCTTGGAGTGAGGATCAAAGGGTCTTGGTGAAGGATGACGAGGTCAACAAAAGATGGAGAGTCTATTTTCAAAAATTATTAAATGATGAATACAATGGTAATATAGTGGTAGCAGGGATTGTTGGTACAGGTGATGACGGAGGTCATAGATACATTCGTAGGATTAAGATGTCGGAAATGAAAGAAGCTTTGAAAAGGATGAAGATGGGCAAGACTTTAGGACTAGATGATATCCCGATAGAGGTTTGAAAGTGCATGGGGAAATTGGTATTGACTAACTGACGAAGTTGTTCAACAAGGTGTTGAGAACAAAGAAAATGGCAGACGAATGGAGGAAAAGTATTGTGGTACCTATTTACAAGAATTAATGAGACATACAAAATTGTACAAACTATCGAGGGATCAAGTTTATGAGCCATACTATGAAGCTTTGGGAGCGAGTCATTAAGCAACGACTAAAGCATGAAACAATTGTATTTGAAAACTAATTTGGTTTTATGCCAAGAAGGTCAACAATTGAGGCAATTTTCCTACTTAGACAATTGATTGAGAAGTTTAGGGCGAAGGGAAAGACCACATGGTCTTTATTGATCTAGAGAAAGCTTATGATAGAGTACTTTGAGATTTGATTTGGTGGGTGTTAGAAAAGAAAAGTGTCTTTAGACATTGCATCGACTTGATGAGAGATATATACGATGGAGCGCTAACTAGTGTACTAACAACTAGTGGAGCGACGAGTGAGTTTTCAGTGATAATAGGTCATCAAGGGTTAGCATTGAGCCCGTACCTCTTTGTCTTGATTGTGGACGACTTAACTAGACACCTATAGGATGAGATATAGTGGTACATGTTTTTCGCAAATGATATAGTTTGATTGATGAGACCTGAAATGACGTCAACACAAAGAACTTTGGAGGGGTGTTCTAGAATCTAAAGGTTTTAAAATTAGTTGAACTAAGACAGAGTATATGAAGTGCAGGTTTAGTAATAATAGGAGTAGAGACGAGGAAGTGGTCAAGATTGACAGTTAGGAAATACAAAAAAGACTGCACTTTCTATATCTTGGGTCGATAATTCAGGAGAATGGAGAGATCGAGGAAGGTGTTGTACACAGAATTATAGCTAGGTGGGGAAAGTGGAGATGTGCAACTGGAACTTTATAGGATTGCCGCATACTAATGAGGTTGAAGGGCAAGTTCAACTTTGCTCTATGTGGTGAAATGTTGGGCGGACAAAAGACAATATATCCATAGAATGACTGTAGTGGATATGAGGATGTTCAGACAGGAATGGCATCTGGGCAGTCTTCTAATGGCATTCCTTAATTGGTGAATGCTTTTGGTGTGTGTAGGGTCAGTCATGATGAATGACCACTCTGAGTTTCATCCCCTTATTCATCGGGGAACAATCCTTAAGAATATGCAATAAATCCAATTTTATGCCCTTAGGAACAATATCAACCTAGTCTAGATGTAAGACCATCTTTTTACCCTTTGGTGTAAAATAAATCCCCTTGAACATCTTAGGAAGCCGCTATGGCTTCTTGAGTTCTTGACTTTTTTAACTTTTGCATGTTAACAATAAACAATGTTTAAAAAACTGCAGAGCCGATCAGTAATCGCCTGAGTTGGCTTGGATCAGGATTCTGGCATGCCCAGATGCAAAACCTACAGATTCGCCCCAAGTCTTACCTTATTGTAGAATTCCTTGCTTAAATTGTGTAGAGAATCGGCTGAGTCTATTCAAACCAGGTGACTCAGCCTTTAAGAATTTATTTAAAATAACGTAATCTGCTTGTGGAATGTTCTCAGACTGTTAATTTCATATTTGCTGATTAAAACGTGGGTTTTCAGTACCTGTTTAGAAAGCATAATTATCATTGCTAATCAGGAGCCTTTCCATGGTTGTTTTTGTTTACCTTTTACTTTTCTCCATTAAAAATATGTGGATTTAAACTCATCATTTTTGTTGGTTTTTTATATTAATCATCAGGCACCTGTAGAGCACGTGAAGCCCATATATCTACAATATGCAAAACTGGAAGAGGACCATGGGCTTGCAAAGCGTGCAATGAAAGTTTATGATCAAGCTGCTAAGGCTGTCCCAGACAACGAAAAAATGAACATATATGAGATTTACATAGCACGTGCTGTTGAAATTTTTGGTGTTCCAAGAACGAGAGAGATATATGAGGTTAGCTGAATTTCTTTTCTTTATAATGTGCCATCATTTTGGACCGACAAATATGGCATCCTGTGTTATTTTGAAGCATTATTAGGATTCATGTATGCATTTCTGAAATATTCTTTGTTTCATGTCTACAGCAAGCTATTGAGAGTGGTCTTCCAGACAAAGATGTGAAAACCATGTGCATGAAGTATGCTGATCTCGAGAAAAATTTGGGAGAGATCGATCGTGCTCGAGGCATTTACATATTCGCATCACAATTTGCTGATCCTCGCTCTGATGTCGCCTTCTGGAATAAATGGCATGAGTTTGAGGTGCAACATGGCAATGAAGACACCTTCAGAGAAATGCTTCGTATCAAACGCAGTGTCTCAGCAAGCTACAGCCAGGTTTGTTTTACTTCCCTGTCAAATTATTCTCTACCCTGATTTATCTGGGTTCCTTTATTTTTTACCTTTGAAGGCATTTGTTCTTATGATCCTAATTTGTGAACTTTCAGACGCATTTTATCCTCCCCGAGTATTTGATGCAAAAGGATCAGAAGCTCGTTCTCGAGGAAACAGTAGACACACTAAAGCGAGCAGGTGTTCCTGAGGATGAAATGGCTGTCTTAGAGAGACAATTAGCCCCACCAGCCAGTGGAACGACTACAAAGGATGGAATGAGAGCAGTGGGTTTTGTTAGTGCTGGAGTGGAATCACAACCAGGGGTTACCCAAACTGCTGATGGTGGAAGAAAGGTAACTGCGAATCCTGAGGATATCGAGTTACAAGATGAGAGCGATACAGAGGAAGACAATGACAAAGTTGAAGTGGCCCAAAAAGATGTCCCTGCTGCTGTTTTTGGTGAGCTTGCGAAAAAGATGGAAAAAGGGAGAGATTCTGAATCCAAAGATAGTGAGGGTAATGGGCCTTTGGGTGCTCTTGAGAGAATAAAGAGACAAAGAAGACAATAGTCTGTAGTGATGCTGTAAACCAGGGACATGAAAACTAACTTGGAATGCCATATTTTAGGATCGGTGAGATGCTTCCCCAAAGCTGAGAGGTCAGTTATGTACAGATTGAGTAATATCTCTTTTGATACATATTATAAAAAACAAGCAAAAATTTTGGTGACCTTGCAAAAAAGATGGAAAAAGGGAGAGATTCTGAATCCAAAGATAGTGAGGGTAGTGGGCCTTTGGGTGCTCTTGAGAGAATAAAGAGACAAAGAAGACAATAGTCTGTAGTGATGCTGTAAACCAGGGAAATGAAAACTAACTTGGAATGCCATATTTCAGGATCGGTGAGATACTTCCCCAAAGCTGAGAGGTCAGTTATGTACAGATAGGGTAATATCTCTTTTGATACATATTATAAAAAAACAAACAAAAATTTTCTGATGCACTATGCATTCTTTTTCTTATGTTCTATTATTGTAACATGTGAAAAATAACTTACGGGAGTATTAATGTGGATCATACTTTTTGTTATTCTTGGCATCATTTTTATAGGATATCATTCAGCACATTGAGTAATGGTCAGCTGCTTTTCGCATTCCATTTCTTTTTGACTAAATGACGGGTGAGTTTTGACATTTGTTTGTAAAAACCATGCTTTGGATGGAAAGGCGATGATGCCCTCATCAAAAGTAATAAATTAAGAATACTTGATACCTTGGGCATTTCCGTACTTGCTGTTAGCATGACTGCACTCATGACTCAATAGTTGGTCCACATGCATTTATGCTTTGAAAATTTACCCCGGAATCGCTCATCTTTAGGTTTAAGCCAATGTTAAATCTGGTTGGATCCTCACCCATCAACCACTTATTATTTTCTGATGAAACCCGTGCTTGCTCGGGGCTTCTAAATTTCTTGGAAGGCTCAGAAGGTGATCTATGTGTGGTTATGCTCCTTATCTCTTTGGTTCTTTTATGCATACAAGATCAATATTAAACATGTCTCTTTGTTCTCAACAGCTGTACTAATCATGTTTACTTTTTGTTCATCTGATCATCTGCTTTATATTCAGTTCAATAATTTGTGAAAACTATTATTGCATGAACAAACATTGTGTCACCCTAAGAATTAACAATTTGTCCTTTGGTATACACTTAATTTTGAGTGTTTAAAAATTGGATGGTCTACATTCCATCTTAGGAACTTATTGTTTCTAAACTTATATAAAGTGTGTATAAAAATATTTTTATGTTGTGGTTGTTATGTTAGATTGAAGAGGTTACATCGTAAAATTTTACAAGGGCCTATTTATATGTGCTCATTATCATTGATAATTCACCGTTTCAATGAAGTTAATCTTGATTATGAGCTGTCTGTTATTTGGCTATGGCCATCACAATATTATTAGAGATAAACTTTAGGCAGTTTTACATATAAGTTTTATCTTTTTGGAAAGTTGGTTTATTTTATTTTAAGTAATTTAAATAGTTGGAAATCATTGAAAAGTTTAATACTTATAAATAATATTATACATAATACAAGATTCGAACCAAACAAACAAAATAGCATTTATCCATAGTGTATTAATTTCAAATAAGATAATATATTTTATGTAAAATTAATTGTCATACAAACAGTTCCTAAACGATTTCTTAGACAATATTCCTGGATAGGGTTTTGTTAGAGGGAGTGAATGCAAGATTTGCTCTGGTCAGAGGAATAGAGCTTTTAGCTTCAAGATGTTGTTTCGGTGTCCAAAACTCTTATGATAGCTTACAAATCCATTTTACCTCTAATTATGAAATTTAAAGCTCTAATGGTGTTGATCAATCAAATCTATCAATGCTTAAAATTTTGAAAACGGAAGATAACATATTAAAAGATGCATTATTTTTAGGATTAGAAATACTCTTCTTTTTTTCATGTTTATACATGTCAATCTATATCTCAAGGTTGAAAAGATCAATCATAGGATTTGTCAACCTTTTTTAATAGATTTTTGAGGTTTTCTACTGTCTAAGGTTGACTGCTATATTATATATGGAAAAAGTTTACATAAATTTGAGGCCCTGAACAATCAGATTAAGGTGCATCTCAAAAATTCAGTATAAGAAGTTGTTTCGATGCCAAAAAGCCCTCAAATCTCGTTATCTCGATTTTGAGATACATGGATGTAAAAAAAAAGCAAGAAGGAATTTCAAGTCTTGGATGCCTTATCTAGAATGTCAAGTTTCAAGATTTTCAAGCGTTCATGGATCTGCGTAATCTATATTATTTTTTAATCTTTAAATTTTATGACTAGAGACGAAAATAAATTGTCAGGTCATCATAAAGATTTTTTGTATTGAATCGACATCATTAGATATTATTTAAAGGTGCATCTTACTTTTAATGTTCAAGGCTTTATTCTTCTAGGTACCACACCAATATCCAATTTGACATCTAATGGGGAGAATGATTGTGATCTTTATGTACAAAAAAATAAATGATTTATTTGTATGCATCTTTTATATATATATGGAAAACACTACAAAACGCTTGTAGGTGAAGTTCAAAGTTTATTACACGGTTATAGACGCCTATCTGATAGTATTTGAATTTTAAAATTTTTTCTATAAATCATAATGATCTGAAATTTTGTAGGTGTATGCGTCTTAATGAGATGCATATGAATAAAATATAAAACAAATAGTTTGAATGATAAAAATTACGTAAAATACCTTTATAAAGTTTCAGGGGTAATTTTATCATTTTATTTTATGATTATTATTTTTTTAATATTTTATTTTGGTGTGATTTGGTCAAATGTACACACGTCATAATTTTTAGATAAATCTAATTAGTATAATAATTATAAAAATTCAAATACTACCGGATAATTGTGACCGTGTGATGAACTTTGGATCGGGATGAAATGTAGGTGAAGTACTCTAAAAAGCTTTTAGAGATGAAAAAATACTCCTAATTAGTACAATAATGGTTGCGAAGCTTGTTCAGAAGATGTTTTTTATTTGCATTTTTTATTTTTTAAAAGAGCCGTTAAATCAAGTTCCTTTCTAGGCAGAAGTATGGGTGCTTTACCAAAAGTTGAGAGAGACGTTTAAGCATTAGCACGTGAAAGCATGCGCATGCGCATGCACACATCCAATGCGTGGAGAGAGGATTTTGCTACCAGTGTTATAGGGACACCGGCATGTCTTAGTTTATATCTGAACTTATTTCGGAGAAACTTATGTGCGCATTTTGTAAGATAAACGTGAAACTAAATTATTTTTAGAATTGTGAAGGTGATTTTACTTATTTTAAAGTGTTCGTCATTGCAGCCTAATATTGTTCTACGCATGAAAAACTAACATACTTGATGAAATAAAAAATAAACATTAATTAGTTCGAATCGGCAAAGAAAATTTCTTGTTTTATAATATATTTCTTCTTAAATCTGTTACCCTATCTCCAATTGTACCAAGAAAATCCTAGCACTGAAATGTATTAATCTTTTACTCGCTTATATGAGTTGGATAATTTTAGAACGAGCAACAAATAAGTGGGGCTATTTGGGTGCTTTCTTTATATATTGAAGGTGTTATTTATCCAGGCAAATAAAATCTGGGGACTAAGTGATTTTGAGTTTTTCGGCCTCCCTATTGAGATCATGAAAATAGAGCATCTTGTAATGTATTGTTTAGGAGAGGGCTTTTTATGTGACCCCACCCACATATATGGTATATGTGACCTCTGGTCTCAGCCATCAGATCTGAGTAGATGGTTGAGATGACTCGAGTCACAATGTCACAAGCTAGCATTTAACCATCAGATCTTGATCAGACGGCTCATAATATTTTATTTTTTATTTTATTTCACAAATAATTTTGAAGCAAAATTTGGAGCATTCTAACAAGGGTGCACATGATAAAAATATTTTGGATGATAAAATTATCAGAATACCTCTGAAAATTATAAAGGCATTTTGGTCATTTCTTTTTAGATAAAATATTTCTTTCTTTTTTTCCAGGTTGGCCCTAATTTTTTGATGGCCTTAATGTTTTGTTGGGGTCATATAGAAACATTTCCCATTATTTAGAATGTTCATTTTCAAAGTTTTTAATTCTTTATAGATCTATTCAATCCGTATCATTTTTTTATATTGAGGTTTCATAATTGGGGGTAGAAATAGATTTTCATGTTATCGAATTGGATTTTCTTTTTGACAGTTTTGAACAAATAAATATTTTCAACAATTTGTCTCCACTGTTGCCCCTATTGAGTAGGGGAGAAATTCAAACTTAATAAACAATTTATTTCATAAATATTCATAAAGAAATGAAGACTGTTGTTTGTTAAAGATAAGCGACCCTGTTGAGTGGGGGAGAAATTCAAATAAGATAATGCTCCTTTTCTAGAATTTAAATATACAATAAAGGCGAGTTGAAGGGGTTGTCCAGATCGAGCAACTTGGCTGAATCCGAGTCTCAATTGAATTTAATGATTTTTTGAACTATGGATAAGTTTATTTGAGGAGTTTTGTTATAGATTCTTGATAGAGTATGTATATTATGCTCCCCGGGAACAGAGTTTACTTCTATTCCGTCGGTCAAAATACCTATTGGGATGATTTTTTTCCAATCTGAATTTTTGGGGATCATTTAAGAATTATTAGATGATTATTCTCAAAAAAAAAAATATAATTTGAGTTTTTTAATACTTAGATCTCTCGGGATGGTTTCAATTCAATCTTGAGATATTCTTTTTTTTAAGTGCATAGAGGGTACAATTGGCTTTTTTTCAATTGAGGTTAATCAATGGGTTGAAAAGGTTACATTTGAGGTCCTAAAATTAATTCTAGGTGAGGTTTACTTGAGAGAGTAAATTGACATTCTACTCCTGTGGGAGTAGAATGTCTTTTTCCTTTTGGAAATTGCCACTTAATATCTATGTTTATTTAATCCAAGAGAGACGAGAGAAAATCCATTGGATAGTTGTAATCCTCGTTTTGTTGCATGCCACACTACTCAATTTTGCTCCACTCACAGAAAAACCTTCCCCACTATCCACATGAATCGTGATCCTGCTGACCATATTGTATACTTACTCTCTCCAGTAAAAGATGCACAAGCTCACTGTACGTACTCCCATAAGTAAAAGACCTACACTAGTTTTGTTCCTCATGACAAAATTCTTCCACTCTTAATGACCTATCCATCAATTTAAACAGCCATGCTCATACAGATCAATTTATTTGTATTTAAATTGATCAATATGAACATGGTTAAAATTTACTCCCATGAGTAAAAGATTTAATTAGGAGTATTTTCTCATCTCTAAAACTTTGGGATGTATTTTAGTATCAGAGCAAGATTCATGTTGCGACCCTAATTAGTTGGAAAAGGCTTTGATGATGATGGTTTTGCTGTCGCCAATCACCCAAAATTTTTATATTTTCTCGTATCTAAAATTTTGAAATCTATTTTAGTATTATCAATAATGAAAAAAAATTGGATGTCTCTTTTCATTCCAAAATTTCAAGCATATTCCTTCATTCTAAGATTTCAAGGATATACAGAACAAATATGAGGTTGTCTTGACCAATTTTCTTTGCTT